GTGGGATCCTCCTGGACCGGGGCACGAACCCGTGTCCCCTGCATCGGCAGGCGGACTCTCAACCACTGCGCCACCAGGGAAGCCCTATGATTTGACTTTTAAACCATGTCCCATATGTTAATTTGGTTAACACTTAAAAAATTTAACTCTACTCAACTGTATGTAAAACATTTTTCTTTTGTGACAATCTGTAAGTCATGTCACTAACAATGACACTTACATTAGGAAGGCTATGGTTGCTATAACACCACAGGCATGGTAGGAGTGGTTGAACTCGTCCATACTGGGATAAATGACAGCTGCATCTATGATAATCCACCAGCCTGTAAAAAACTAAAACAAACAAACCACAAAAAGGAGAAATTACAGTTATTTCATATCTTACTGGATAAAAAGAATGCAAGGAATCTTGCTTTCCAGCAAAGAAAGCAAGAAATCAAGCAAAGAATCTAAGTGAACAGATCCTTTCTAATAAAGTCCAAAATTTTCTTAAATGTTCCAGCAGTTTCTTGCATATAATTAGTACATGGCTTAATAGTTGATGAAAGATTAGATACCCTAAAGTCCCACAGCAATTATTATTTATTAACACTTCTTTTCTAAGTCTACTTTAGTCATTATTTTATGTTGTCATATTAAAGTCTGTAATCTAATTTTGTGAACTAGAAGTTACAATATTTCACGGCAGGAGAAAGGAAAAAAGTGATTCAGCCTCCAGCTGACAGGAGGAGTGGCCTGTTGCCGATATATTATAAGCCTCCAGGAAGATATTATTGAAAATGAAAAAAAAGTATTCAAAATAATATAGGGAATAATTATCGTTGATAGAATTTTAGCTAGCCTCTTGGTGTTGTGAAATAAACAATGGCTATGCAGTACTGCTTTCCCTTTTGATGAACTATAGTGCAGTCTACAGATGGTTTCAGAGATTATGCTAAATTCAATTTAAATACCAAATTATAATTTATTTTCATTGCATTTGGTTCTGGACACTATCAAGGGCAAACATATAATGAAAAAACATTAAAACTGCACAAATATTTTTTAATCACCTGAGCAGAAACTTACAATAAGATGATATTAAGCAAATACTGACAAGTAGCTTAGAAGGTTTGGAAAGTAACCCCCTTCTCTATCCCCACTTGCAATCCTGACCTAGTTCGCTCTCAGAATTGCCATCTTCAGGGAATCATTTTAAAATAACTATTTTAGGCTAATCAAATTATTTTTATCAGGTTACAGACAGATCCATACTCCATTAATGACTTTTTTACTAGCTAGTGCAAGTACTCTTTCACTGTTTTTTTTCACCCTTAGCTCAATGTATTCAAGATATTTTCTTCATAGATTAAAATTCAAAGCTTTTTTTTTTAAGAGAAGAATTTCTATAGTAGTTTTATATTTTGACATTAGTTTGGAAAAATAAAGGATAATTATTTTTCATAGATTATAACTGTCAGAGACTAGGCAAAGAGGACATATTTAGAGTTTTGTTTGTTTAAAATTCACTGTTTAGAGCATATGACAACATTAGAGGACAAAACAAATATCAGATACCTTGAAGGATCTGTAATGTAAATAAGAATTTTATACTATAAATTACTTCTAAGCAATATATTTTTATGAGTTCTTTCTTTCTATTTTCTAATGAGATTGAGAAGAAAGTTAATGCTGGATCATGGAGAAATGCAATCATATCTCTTGAATGGTTTTGACCTGACTGTTTCTTAAACACTTCTTAGTAACTTAATGTACTCATTAAGAGGAAGCATAATCCATGCTATGAGTAGGTGTGTAAAATATACTGTCTTACTATACAATTTTTTCATGCAGTTAAAGTAAAATAATCTAATCAAATTTCAAGCCATAATGTCAACTCTTTAGATGGAATAACTAAACCCTCTCATAAATAAAACAAAATATCAACATTTATTTTTAAAAATTCAGTAGCAAAGATAAAATAAATAGCACTTACTTAAAGACATCACACAGAGCTTTAAATACATAAAAAACAAACACACCAAAATAATGAAGGCCCAAATTATCAAGGACACTTACTAGGATACCAGCAGCAATGGAAGCAATAGTATTGCGCTTTTCCCCCCAATCAATGCATTCTGAGCATCTCAAGCCTTCTAGAAATCCAGACATTTTTTTCAGGTCACTTGAAAAAACAAACAAACAAACAAAACCAACTAAAGTACTTCTATTGACTTGCTTCTAAGCTGACTTATGTTTCTAGAAAATAATTAACAGTTTAGGAATAATTTAATAAAAGCGAAGTTACAAATACTTTATCTGGCTACATATACTTCAGAATATTTGATTTAGGTTTTGATGAATTTCCACATAACTTTGGAAAACAAAATGTGGACTCATTTAAGTTTCTTTTTTTTTAATTTAAAAGATGGTTTTGGTATATTTTAAGCAATGTAAACAAAAGCGGGCATCCCAATATTGAAAAAATTTTATACTGATTATTAATTCCAAACTAAGTTATTATGTGACTTAGATATTTACAGTCCAGCAGCACTAGCATAGCAGAGACAAGTGATAAAACTTTGGTTCTGAGTTAAAGCATGGACTCAGATGAAAAATATTTCTCTTAACAATTTACACATTTTGTCATAGAACATGTTTCTTCACACTCAGATTAAGAAATTAAACACTGCACCCGCCTCACGTCCCTTCACTTCATTGTTTTTTCCTTCTCCACGTCTGTCCGTTGGCGTCATTTCTATGTAAAGAACACCCATTTCATTCTAGTAAGCTCTATCTCTGACACTAACATGTTTTCCAGCCAAAAGAAAGCACAAAATTGAAGTCAATATTAATTCAGACCATAAAAAAAGAAAGAAAAAAAAAAGAAAGGAAGGAAGAAATTAAAGAAAGAAGGAAGGTAAGAAAGGAAAGAAAGAAAGAAAACGCACTGCTATATTACCATGGATAAGTTACCATAGACGACACTTACATAAAACATTCCTTAGAGCTGGGCCATACAAACCTGGTCTGATACACATCCATAGGATCTCTATTTCAGAATATGAAAAAGCCTGCATTAAGTGTAAATTGTTCATAATCAAGCAAACATCCAAACTCCTACAGTGAATCTTAACCTGTCCATGAAGCTACTCTGTAGCCAGCAACCATGGTTGTTCAAAAACATATCCTAGAAAAAAGCAATGAATCCAGTTGGAAACTCCCTTATAAAAATTAAATTTAAAACCGTGATTATACCCAGTGCTAATATGCCTTTAGGACAAGTCCAATTTTGAAAATTCACTCGTTTTATTCTTCCCTGGGAGGAACGGCAAGCCAGTATGTTGTTTTCGGTTCACCCCAATGACGCCGCCCCGAATCTGTTTTTCTTTGGTTTATTACCCGCACAACTCGTGCCCAAACTCCGCCCTCCAGATTCTGGGAATCTGAGGTGTAGAGAGTGGCCTGCGACTGGGAAGATGTGGAAACTAGTTCTAGCTCTTGTGGCTCGTCCATCTCCCTCGCCCAGGGAACCAGCCGGCTTACACTCCTTCCGGGGTGTCAGTTTCTGCAGCTCTAAAGTAGGGGGGCATGCTGAGTTTCAGGGATCCTGTGACGTGTCGGGGAGGGCGCTGGCCGGACTGCGGAGACGGTCATCCTCTCCCGCCGCCGGCCGGACACGAGTCAGCAGGAAGTGGCCAGGAAGTGGCCAGCAAGACACAGCCTGAGCCTGCAGCTTCCCAGAGGGTGGACCCAACGACTCAGGCAGCATCAGCCGGGCAGACACTCCTAGGTCCCGGCCTCATCCGGCCTGCGGCAGTTCCTCCCCTTCCCCCACTCCTGCCTGGCACTTACGTCCAGCCCCGCGCGTGCAGTCGGTCCAGAGCCCGGTGTCGCGCCGCGCCGGGCCGCCTCACTTTCCCACTTCCAGCCAAGAAAACAAAACTGCCACAGGCCGCCGGATACCCGGATTGAGCAGCACCGCCCCAGGAGCTCGGTGGCGCATGCGGAGAAGGGGCGGAGGGAGCGGTGCGGGGAGAGAGTAGGACTCGCTGAGGGAGGGCCAGAGAGAGCCACGCCCACCGCGCCGACGTCTCTGCGCATGCTCCGGGCGCCAGCTGTGGGGACTTTCCGGAGCGCTCAGTTCACATGTGAACGTCGGAAGTGGTACGTGGGTCCGGCATTCCAGGGTAGGTGTGGGAAGTTGCTTTCTCCTAAGCTTTCGAAAGAAGGCGTTTGTTGGGGCTCTGTATCCGTCTTCAGTGAGGTGGTAAAGTTTCTATTGCTGGGGTCGCTCACACAGTTATCTCAGGCATGGGTCCCGTGTGGTGCAAAAGGTAGGTCCGGGTTCGCGGCCCCACAGCACTAATAGAGGTTTTAAAGTCCCGTTTATTTTCTCAGAGCCTGGCCCCGTCCTCGCCGTAGCTTCGCCTGCGTGAGTGGCGGGGTCGTTCCCGGGAAGCGGGGACCTCCCGGTTCTGGAAGCGGGCTACTTGGGCGACCCAGAGGGTCCCAGCGCGGTGACCCTCTTCTGAGACTTGACCTTTTTTTCCCGTTTGCATTAAGGTAGGGTTTCTCAGCCTAAGCACTACTGACATTTTGGGCCAGATAATTCTGTTTTTTTGGGGGGGGAGCAGTCCTGTGCGCTGTAGGGTGTTTATCTGCATCCCCTTCTTTCCTCCAGTTGTGACAACCAAAAATGTCTCCAGATTACCAGACATCCCCTCCCGGGGAAAATCGTTGGGAGATAGGATTAGGTTTAGGAGATACTCTGGGTTTTGGGGAAGTGACCCTTTTCAGAGCCGGCATCAACGATGTCTTAGCTACGTGAAGGAACTTGTGGCCGGGCTCGCCCGCTCTTCCAGACGCTCTCGTTCCTGTTCCAGCGTCTCGCTGGAGTCGGTCGTGGTCCAGGAGTCAGAGCCCGCACGGGAGAAGGAGCAGGTCACGACCTCGGTCCGGAAGGCGCCACCAGAGAAAGTACGGGCGCCACTCGCAGTCTTCCTCGCGGAGCGGGTCGCGACCCCGCAGGAAGTGCCGCTCTCGGGGAAGGTCGTATTACAGAAGGGCCTTCTCGAACACGCGGGGTGACAGTACTAGGGCTTTGACCCTGTAGTGTACCCACGCGGGGTGACAGTACTAGGGCTTTGACCCTGTAGTGTACCCGAAAGAACACAGCACTTGGAGGGAGAGATCCAGGAAGAGGTCGCAGAGCAGAACCCCGTTTCCTGTAAGTGAAGAAGGTGGGTGGGTTATTTGTGCTTAAGAGAGGCGCACAGTTTCACCTCTTTTTACATGTAGGGCGACAGTATATGAGTAGGCTAGGGAACCAAGGTGGTTGTGTGATTTAATTTCTTTGATTTCTTTTGATGTATGAAATCTCTGTAGCTTTGGGTTGGGGGCGGTATTATCTTTTCTAAAAAATAAATTTATTTGTTTTATTTTATTTATTTATTGTTTCTGGCTGCGTTCTGCATCCTCGTTGCTGCGCATGGGCTTTCTCTAGTTGCGTCGAGTGGGAGCTACTCTTCGTTGGGGTGCGCGGGCTTCTCACTGCGGTGGCTTCTCTTGTTGCGGAGCATGGGCTCTAGGCGCGCGGGCTTCAGTAGTTGTGGCTCGTGGGCTTTAGAGCGCAGGCTCAGTAGTTGTGAAACATGGGCTTAGTTGCTCCATGGCTGCTCCATGGCATGTGGGATCTTCGCGGACCAGGGCTCGAACCCGTGTCCCCTGCACTGGTAGGCGGATTCTCAACCATTGCACCACCAGAGAGGCTTGTGGGGGCGGTATTATCTGATTAGCAGACAAAACTATACAATCGCAATCCATAGCCTATTTTTAAATGGACATCATTCATACCCCTCGAGATTAAAGATTAATTGTCGCTTTAAATGGCTCAGGGTGGAGGAAGCTAGTGCAGGCAGTTCTTAATGGAAACTTTTAAATGTCTATTAATGACAACATTAGTTTACCAGCTCTGAGCAGTTTTTTTTTTTGTTTTTTTTTGTTTTTTTTTGCAGTACACGGGCCTCTCACTGTTGTGGCCTCTCCTGTTTCGGAGCACAGGCTCCGGATGCGCAGGCTCAGCGGCCATGGCTCACGGGCCTAGCCGCTCCGCGGCATGTGGGATCTTCCCGGACCAGGGCACGAACCCGTGTCCCCTGCATCGGCAGGCGGACTCTCAACCACTGAGCCACCAGGGAAGCCCAGCCCACTTTTTTTTTTTTCTTTTTTGGCTGCACCACACAGCATATGGAATCCTAGTTCCCCTACCAGGGATCGAACCTGCGCCCCTTGCATTGGAAGCGCAGAGTGTTAACCACTGGACTGCCAGGGAAGTCCAAAAACAGGCCACTTTTAGCAATCCAGTTGCCCTATAAAAGAGAGCTCTCAACTCCCAGATTCTTGTGATGACTGTCAACAATGATAAGGCTCCAAGAAATTGCCCAGTAAGCTACTTTCAATAATTCCTTTAACTCAAGGATGAAAATTAAACTAAACTTAAATGGAGAAATTTCTACCATGTTGATAGATACCAACATGGTATCTACTTTTTCTTTCTTTTTTTTTTTTTTTGTGGCTTTGCCATGAGGCTGGTGGGATCTCAGTTCCTCACCAGGGGTTGAACCTGAGCCATGGCAGCGAAGGCCCCGAATCCTAACCACTAGGCCACCAGGGAACTCCCTTCCCCCCATCGCCCCAACTCTGTTTACTTTAAAACCACCGTGATACATGAAGAACCTCCTCAGAGTAATAAAAATATCTTAGTAGTGGGAGTTTCCAGTCAAGTTCAAAGAGTTCCTTTATTGGAACCCATAACTGTTGGCTCTTTCTCTGAAAGTCATACTTTTCTATTATGCATTACTACCCCTGTGAATTTCCTAGGTAAAGACCTGCTTTCTATAGCTATTTACTATTTATAATAGCCGAGACATGGAAGCAACCTAAATGTCATCAACAGATGAATGGATAAAAAAGATGTGGTATGTATACACACACACACACACACACACACACACACACACACACACCCCAATGGAATATTACTCAGCCATAACAAAGAATGAAATTATGCCATTTGCAGCGACATGGATGGACCTAGAGATTATCATACTAAGTGAAGTAAGTCAGACAAAGAAAGACAAATAGAGTATGATATCACTTATATGTGGAATCTTAAAAAATGATACAGGGACTTCCCTGGTGGCGCAGTGGATAAGACTCTGCGCTCCCAATGCAGGGGGCCTGGGTTCGATCCCTGGTCAGGGAACTAGATCCCACATGTGTGCCACAACTAAGAGCCCTTGTGCTGCAACTAAGGCGCCTGTGAGCTGCAACTAAGACCTGGTATAATCAAATAAATAAATAAATAAATATTTTTTATAAAAATGATACAAATGAACTTATTTACAAAACAGAAATAGACTCACAGACAGAAAACAAACTTATGGTTACCAAAGGGGGAAGGGAGAGGGGAGGAATACATTAATAGACACACACTACTATATATAAATAGATAAACAACAAGGGAACTACATTCAATATGGCACAGGGAGCTACATTCAATATCTTGTAATAAATAACCTATAATGGAAAAGAATCTGAAAAAGTTATACATATATAACTTTGCTGTACACCTGAAACTAACACAACATTGTAAATCAATTATACTTCAATAAAAAGTTGGTTGTTTTGGGGGGAGAAAAAGATCTGCTTTCTAAATTACAAGGCCAAATAAGATTTTCCTCAGGAGAAATAACCTTAGACTTTCCAGACTCATCAGACACTGAAGCATTATGTGTTCTCCAAGCCCAAATTGATTGTCCAGAGGAGACTACTAAATTCCATAAAAGTATAGATGTTATAGATCTCTCTGAAATCCCTGATACTTTTTATCAGGGATAAAAAGTATTAAAATTCAGAATGATCATTACAATTCAGAATGATCCTTCTAAATTGCTTCCTAACTCACCTCAGTACCCCTTAAAGCCTGAAGCCCTATAAGGGGTCACCCCTATAATAGAAGATTCATTAAGGCAGAGGGTAATTATCCCCTGTATCAGTTCTTGCAGTGCTCCTATCTTGCCTTTAAAGAAGCCCTGTAGATGGGGATGGAGATTTGTATAAGACCTTAGAGCCATAAGTCTGTGATACTGACGTTTCCAGGGGTACCAAACCCAAGTACTTTGTTGGCAAATATACCAACTGAATCCAAATGCTTTACAGTTGTGATCTTATGCTCTGCTTTCTTCAGCATCCCTGTGGACAAAGTAAGTCAATATTTATTTGCTTTTACTTGGAGAAATCAAGTCGTATCGGACAGTAATGCATCAGGGATTTACTGAGGCTCCCCCACACTTTTCACAAATTTAACATCAGGGTTTAAACACTCTGCTGCAATTTCTCAGAAATTCTACCTTGATTTAATATGTAGATGATTTAATATGTAGGAATCGATTCAACATATCTGTTACAACGACTGGCTTATAAAGGCTGTAAGGCCTCAAGATAAGCTTCAGTTACCACAAGAGATGGCTCATTATCTAGGTCATGACTTCTCTGCAAAAGGAATCTTTCTGTCTTTAGAAAGAATAAATACCATTCGGGACTTCCCTGGTGGCGCAGTGGTTAAGACTCTGCAGTCCCAGTACAGGGCACCCAGGTTTGATCCCTGCTCAGGGAACTAGATCCCACATGCATGCCACAACTAAGAGTTTGCATGCCACAACTAAAAGGTCGCATGCCACAACTAACGAGCCCACCTGCTGTAACTAAGACCCGGCACAACCAAATCAATAAATAAGTAAATATTAATAAAGTAAATAAATACCATTCAAAATTTTCCTAAACCTGTAAGGATTCCTCGGACTTGCAGGATATTGTAGGTCCTGAGTCTCGTAGTTTTCTTTATTGGCTTCCCCACTCTATGAACTAAAAATAGCACTCAGGAATCTCTTCCTTGGGAAATAAAACACAAGGAAACCTTTATTGAACTCAAATGGGCTTTACAAAATCCTCCCACATCATTGCCCCCCAAATGTACTAGACCCTTTGTGTTGTTCATCCATGAATGGAACAATCTGGCTTTAGGAGTCCTCACTCAAGAACATAGAGGAAAAAATAGACCTATAGCCTATTACAGCCTGCAGTTGGACCCAGCAGTCAGGGCATATCCAAATTGTTTAAAAGCAGTAGTTGCAGCAACAAAAAATTGTAGAGTCTTCCTCGGAACTTCTTCAGGGAAATGATTCATACCTACAGGTTCCTCATGCTGTAGAAAGTTTGCTAAATACTGAGCATTCACAGCATTTCTCAGTCAGGAGACTAACATCTTATGAGATTCTGCTCTTTCCTGTGTTCTTCAAACCTATGCATTCTTTGCTATAACTCTTTAAACCCTGCTACCCTCCTGCCTTTACCCAACAAAGGAGAGACGTATAACTGTGTTGAATTGGTTCCTCAAAGTTTGACTCCTAGATTAGATTTACAGGAAACCCCACTAACCAATCCAGAATTAATACTCTATGTTGATGGCTCCTATGCCAAAAATTCTGCAGGAAAGTATCAGAACCTTATGTTGTTACTGCCCCAAATGAATGATTAGAAAGGAAAGTTCTTCCCCAATTTAATTCAGCACAACCTGCAGAGTTAGTTGGCTTGACTCAAGCCTGTGAGTTAGCCAAAGATAAAACTATAAATAAGTATGACCAATAGAGAGTATGCTTTTGGAGTAGTCCATGATTTTGGTATACTATAGAAACAGAGGGAATTCCTAACATCAAATGGCATGCCTATAAAAAATGGACCTCAGAGTGCTGAGCTCCTCTGCACTATTACAGCCTTCACAAGTTGCTGTCAGAAAAGTTGAAGTCAGACCGTGAATATCAAGGAAATGTTATAGCTGACTTTTATGCTAAGGTTGCAACTCAAGAGATTCAAAATGTACCAAAACTCTGTAACGAATTAACTCCATAAAATTGATCCAAATTAATCACTTATGATAACTTACTTAACAGACAAGCAAGTGTATCTATATTAGAAAACAAAAGTGGCACTAAGTAGGATGAAAATTTGATATAAAAAGAAGACTGGGACGCCCTGAGTAGCCACCTGGTGTTTCCTGAATCCCTCAAGTTGCCACTTTTGCGAGCGCTCTATGACTATTCACCATGGAATTGACAAAATGATTCAAATTATGAAAAAGTATTGGTGGGGTAACTGTTTTAAGATGGT